CAACCTTAAGACACATACTCTCATACAAGAAAGATAGAAGAAATATAATAAATCCAAAATAGAAGAAATAAAAAGTTTGATAATCTTGTAAAGTAGTTAAAGGCTCCCTACGTTGTATAGTATATACACCGATTTTCAAAATCACGAGCATAATAATATGAGAGTGAAATTATCCTCGTACAAAGATACAAAATCTCATACTTGTATAAGTTCAGCGAATCTCCAATGGTTGGCATCCCTGCGATTCGGGCAACCTGCCAGAAGGGATGTGATGACGAAATCTAGGAACGTTAATTGTGGAAGGTTGCAATGCTCCGGAAATTCAGTGACGCTCGGGAACGAATTGCTACTTTTGTACGGATTAGGCACGCCGAATTTGGATAGCATTTGCTGCTGTTCTCGGATTTTCAATCGACTGCCACGAGCGGAGGTTCTAAACTCGACTGCTTTGAGTATACGATATCTTTGTGAAAACTGCACGAATTCCAGTCATTTTTTTTGTTCAAGCGATAGTTCGTAGGAATATATTCAGAGTCAGATAATGCTTTTTTTTTTAATAAAAGAATACGGTGCATGTAATATCTGCCCTACATGGAATATGGAATAGGTACATATATTTAATACAATAACGTAATAACTAATGGATCAGAATGAACTATTTTCGCAATCGATACTGTTGACTTTGTTTATTGATATATACATTTTGTAATTATTGCAAGGACTTTATTTACGAAATATGGTTGCTAAAATGCAAATTGAAGATTCGTCAATACTACATAATAACAAATATTACATAGATGCGAAAATTAGTCTGTCTGTTTGTACGAAGAATTGATGAAATAAAATACAATAGGAGCCATAATAATAATGCGGTACTTCTAATACATTTTTCTGGATTATATTGACGTTTAATTCCCCACAGATCAATCAATCAACATCAAATCGGCGCAGTTGCCCAAAACTTCGATTGGAAATATTTTTCTAGAGACAAAAAAACTTTTGCCAGATATGGACTCGAGTGAAGACCTAGATTGGATTACAATGTTAATAATGTTCGTTAATTACATAAATATTTTATACTGACACTAAAATTGGTTACAATGAATAATGTTAGAATAATAAATTTAAACGGAATTGTTATCACAAAATTTTTGAATCTGCCGATTAGCGTGTTTATAAGGATTAAAAATGATATTATAATTCTGTAGAACAAAGATATCGTACCCTCATATCATGTACTTCTATTACCGTATCTCATCCTTAAACCGAAACACACACATCATCGAGACTAATATAGGTGCCAGAGTGATCAAATTTATTTAAAAAAAACTAACTAGTTATATCCAAAACTTGATGATATCTCATTTAGAGACGAAACAGGTGTCGCAAAATGTAGGTGTAGATCCAATAACGGTCGGAATTTAATCGCTAAAGGGAAATATCATAACGCTTCCAGATGCAATGGTTATGTTTCCGCACAGAATTTTTGTGATAGTTAATTTTAAACTTTCGTGTTTAAAATTTTTATTGGCCACTATTGATGATTAAAATTCTCATTTCAACAGAGAGACTTAAAATTATCTTCTGCGTGGTCGCAAAATAAATTAGCAAAGTTGTAGCATCAATAGTCACGGATAACGGTCGCGAACTTTTTAAATCTAGTGACGGTAGATGAAGAAAAAACTGCTGTCACCTATCTACATTGACAATATCAGCTCGTGACCACGCTTGCAACCAGATGAAACGTCGATGGTTACCTTTGTTTCCATAGAATTATTCACGGTTAATAATTTAAAGAATTTTTGTGGTCTGACACATGCTAATGGTAGAGTAATGAAATAAAATAATATAAGTCCATTAAGTAATGAAACGGACTTCGGCACAATAACACCTAATTCCATAAAATATATTACATGGCAGTCGTTCGTTCATGAGTTGTTACATTTCATTGACAGTAACATACTCCGTTTGGTAGACATTTTAATGGAATGCTAATAAACAGAATGCGGGCATTGTCCACATAATAGAATATTGTGTTTCTAATTTTCCAGACCATCACAACTGTGAGACTAAGGACTAAGTTAAGAGCGAATAGAAATAGAAATAGAAATAATCTTTATTCAAATAAACTCATTACAAGCACTTTTGAATAGTCATATTTTGACTCATTAAGCAGATTCATCACAAGAAGAATGAGCAAGAAACTTGTGTGTTGCTCTTTTTAATAGATGTTTTTTTTTATATAAATAATTACGTTATAACAAGTAAGAGGCATGCGATAATCATAATAATATTAATGTAATCAATAATATTGTCGTGCTATGGATTTAAAGTTTTTCTATAAAAACATTATTATCGTTAACGAATTCTTCAATTTTATAATAAGCTTTTTTGCAAAGGAACTGTTTTATTTGACATTTAAATCTTTTTGGCAGATTTATAACAGACTCTGGTATTTTATTGTAAAACCTTACGCAATTGCCATAAAACGAATTACTAACTTTAGCCAAACGACATTTAGTTATTAATGGAGTTTTATTAATGGAATCATTATAATAAAAAATAAATAATCGTGGACAATTGACACAGCGCCATCTAGTCTCACGTTAAGCAGAGCTTGTGTAATGAGTACTAGATAACTGATATAAATACTTACGATATTTTTTTGTAAATACACGTAAAATATACATAGAAAACACTGCGACTGATACAAACACTCATACTCATGAAAACAAATGTTTGCACCGTGCGAGGAATCGAACCAGCGTCCACCGAAAGTAACGTGATGTGCAAAATTGCTAGACTACCGAGGTCGTCAAATGATAAGTGTATGTGGAATCAACAATTTATCCATTTCGGACATACATCGTGAAATTCAAATATACAATTAAACTAAATTATTGAATTAAAAAAACTCATACTACTCTACAATTTTACATTTGTTTCTATATTAATATACTAATAATATGATAATATCTAGGTATTAGCTGACCCGCACAACTTCGTCTGCTTTTAATTTCTCCACCTTTTGCAATATTTTCATTGTAGCACAGCTCCTATTGATCGTAGTGTAAGGTTATATAGCTTAAAGCCTTCCTCGACAAATGGACTATCCAACACAAAAAAAAAGTAATTCGAACCAGTAGTTTCTGAGATTAATGCGTTTAAACAAACAAACAAACTCTTCAGCTTTATAATATTAGTATAGATTATGACCCTTATAAAAGTTTATATCCTATTAAATTGATTATATATATCTTTATTGATAGGTCTATTGCAGACATTTCTGATAAATCAAATTTACCATCATTTCTGTAAGTATTGTAGGTGAAGCAGATTTACATGGAATTTGATAATTAAGATGTTACTCTTTTAAAAGATATAGAATACATAATAATATATATAAATTTAGATTTAAAGTATAAATAGATACTAATATACCATACATTGGTGTCTGTTTATTGTAACGTGAATCACAAAACCACAAAACTAGTGCTTTGGAATTTGGCTCGCATATTTTATAGAGCAAATGCTCATTTGAGAGAAATTAAAAAATAAACAAGAAATATAAAATTATGTAGTTTTAAACATAATTATCGATTTCAGCAATTATGTACATACAGTTTGTATCACATTCATTTAAACATTAGATAACTATACATAGAGGTTGATACGAAGTTTGAAATATTACAGTAAAGAATTGTTTTTTTTTTGTAACAGATTAATACAATACATATTTTGTACATATAACTAGCTGTTCCCAGAACTTTGTTCGCGTAATATATTTTTTTTAAATAAAAGTAGCCTAAGTTACTCCTTATTACAACAGCTACCTACCAAAAAAGTACCGTCAAAATCGGCCCAGCCATTTCAGAGATTAGCCGGAATAAACAGATCAACAGATAGACAAAAATCATAAAAAATGTGATTTATATTCATACGCATGTAGTAAAAAACGGTTATTTCAATATTACAAATAGACACTCCAATTTTATTTATTTGTATGGATTATGTATTTATTTACAAAAGACAATATATCAATTATAGTACTCATAACACAAATTCTGCTTAGCTTGGGACTAGTTGGCGTTGCGTAAAAATGTCCTGTATCATTATTATTTACTTAATAAAATCTCTCATCTATAGAAAGCAGGTTATTCATCGAATAATATTGGACATATCTGTTTATAAAAATATTTGAGATCCGCAGAATAAACGCATCCGTACGGTGTTGGGTCCTTCCCACCATAGTCTTAAATAGCCATGAAGTTACGACCCTTTGTTCGCTATCCTTTTATGATTTGGACCAGCGGAGATCCCCATTCCCCGGCATTACGGTGCTCTACAGACCACCTATATGGGCCCATTGTCTTACAGACAACCTTGGCTCTCAAAGGATTTCCACTAAAAACTGACTTTGAGTACGGGATTGTTTGAGATAATTAAATGTGTTGCAAAATATAAATTAATTATAAAAGATCACACGATAAAACTGGTAAATATAATAATTGTCCAGGGATATTATTGTGGATACTAGACTGATACAACTGGTATAAATACTTAGCTATATTTTTTATACATATAAATAAATATGTAGAAACATCACACAAGCACAAGCATGAATACAAATGTTTGTATTGTGCGAGGAATTGAACCCGCGATCATCGGATGTAAAGCGGTGTGTTAAACTGCTTGACCACCGAAACCAATCCGAAGTCAATAATTTAAAAAACCCTTATAAGATGCTACTATTTTTTATTTTATTTAAATAATTTTAAAGAATTACACGATAAAAATGCAGAGTCAGTGTCTAGACTGCTACTAAATTTTACGCAATCCCGTACTTGTGTAGTAGATATACAAAATTTCAAAACAATTTGTAAAAAATAATTAATTCGAATAATAATTATTATTATTTGCAAATTCTATAAAAACAGTACTATTAAATTGCACTAATATAATTTTGAATGTGATTTTATAATTGTATATGTCAGACTTACCATATGAGTGACAGAGTGCTCAGCTGCACCGGTCGTGTATTCAGTTCCTGAAAATAAAATATCATGTTAATTATATATAATTACTTACAAATATAGTTATAGTAGTTACAAACGTACGGAAAATTTTATTATATTTGGCAGGTTCAGTGGTACGAAGGACCTTAGTTTTGATGGTCGTGGGTACGCTGCTCGCACAGTACAAACATTTGTAGTCATAAGTATAATTGTTATACTGGTCCGGGTGTTTATTCAATGTATATTATGTATGTATCTATAAAAACTATTTCAGTACTTATATCTGTTGTCTAGTAGCTATAACACATGCTCCAGTTAGGTTTGGTTTAGATGATTTTTTGAGAGTTATCCTGAGATATTATTATTATTATTATATTAATTACCGACGTTAGGGATCTAGCGGCTACCTACATCTGTTTACTTCCATGTCTTACAGGCGCTAGATAATAATCAGGACAAGTCGTACAGCGCCATCTAGACTCAAATTAAGCTAGCTAAAGCTTGTGTTATGGGTACTAGATAACTGATACAAATACATAGATATTTTCTTTTTCGTAAATACATACTATACATAGAAAACACCCAGACTCAAATCATACTCATGAATAAAAATGTTTGTGCCGTGCGAGGAATCGAACCCGTGACCATCGGACGTAAAGTGGTGTGTCAAACCGCTAGACCACCGAGGTCGTCATGGTTAGATGGCGCTGTGTGATTTGACCGGCATTATTATTATGTAATTTTTATTATTATTACTTCACTGCCATATGTCAATGGGAACACAAAAGAAGCGGATTGGCGACAGAAATAAGAAGAACAGCGATTACTGATGCTAACGACTTTAACAAACATTACCTCAGTACAAAAGCACGATAGAATAATCAGGTTATACCGACTCATTGCTACAACTAGAAGCTCACGTTAAATGTATATTAGAAGCACAGGACAATGTATGTGATGTTTGCACTACAAGTTACTCCAGAGGCAGTGCGATAAAAGCGGATTACAAGTAAATTGTTGTGGGAATTGTGTCTGGAACAAGTCACGAGCAGCTCCAACTTGTTTCATTAGTTTTGGGATCTTGTAATTAAGATGACCAGTGTAATGCATTGCGACAAAGTTATAGACAAGAAATTTAAGAGAATTACGTAAGATCTTTATCATTCATTCCAGTCATTTTTCAATGTCATTCTACGACAATAGATACTGTCAGTCTCCATTCAAACATTCCGTCAGTATATCTATCGTGAATAAAATCCGTTATTGTGAGTAGATGGTGTGATCACCAGCATTTTAAATTAAAATTAAGAAGAATACACTGGTCACTGTAATCTCCCTAAAAATGAATGTGTATGTTTGTTAAGTTAATTTGGCTCGAAAGCACCCCGAACTGACGGTAGATTTAATAATAAAATAATGCTGTATTTATACAACCATAAGATTACAAAATTAAAAAGGAGAGTACATAATAGATAGCTAGGTAATCACATGGCAGAATATTGCGTAATACAAAATAAGGACCCTGATATCCTAAACTAGGTATTACTTCCTGTGCTATAGGTATCAGGGTTTCTCTCTAACAGATTTGTTATATCATGATAGTCTGTAATAGACCTACACGAATAAAGATATTTTTAATTTGTTGACAACTATACCATCGTAAAATACTCAACTTCAAAAAATTCAATTTCTTATTTACATGCGGGATCTAATAAATGTCACAAGAAATACAATCCAAATGACAATGTTATAGAATAGAAACAGAAAGGATGTGTGATGGCGGTCTCTTATGGTTTTCTATAGTTGATTTCACAAATACGGTCATCTACCCTCTGATCGCAAGAACTCGCCAACTGTTTCTCACTTGACCTGCTGACTTGAGAAGCACTGCAAGATTTTTCCTGTTAAAATATAGATGTGCCTTTAAATTTCTACTGGGACTAGCTAGACGAAATTGATACAAATTAGGTTCTGTACACGACAAATCTCACAGGATGCCAGTTCAAGATCAGGTTGGTCCGAGTACTCTTTTTAATTTCAACACCTTTAGATGTATTTTTAATCTTATACACGAAGACAGAACAGATAATATATCTAAAATCATGTTTTTTTATTAATTATATATTTCCCAATACTGTAGTTACATTCTTGTTTTATTTGTATACTATCCGACCCGTCCTACTTCGTCTGCATCTCACTTATTTGACATTTAGCATTCTATTTCGCCCAATTTACATATCTTTTTAAATTATAGTCTATGTGTTATTCTGATGTAGAAGCTATATTACTGTAAACTTCACCAAAATCCGTTGCGTAATTTTTGAGTGAAAGAGTAACAAATATCCATCCATCCAACCATCCGTACAAATAAACTTTCGCGTTATTTGAAACTATTTCACGCAACTGAACGGATGTTAATGAAACGTTACAGTAATATAGCTTATACTTATACATTAGTCAGTGACCATAGAGACAATTTTATTTACATATTTTATTATTATTTCTTATATATGTTAGTCTATAAGGTATTTATAATATGGGCCATGTAGCCTGAATTAAATATATAAATTAAAAATATACTAAAAAAAAAAATTGTAATAACACGTAGGCTACAAATTTCACACGAGTGAAACCGAAGGCACAGCTAGTACGAAATAATTGTCGTTATGCATTCAATTCAATTTTCCATTAGTTCCAACAGCCGATAAGGATCTTAACACGAATAATTTTATGGTAAATGAAATGAAAGATTCAAATACCTATATTTACCATAAAATGGTTAACAATATAAATAATGTATATTAAAGACGAAAGTTAAAAATTAACCATCAAGATCCGATAGTCTTTCAAACAAATGATTACTGAGGCTCAACAATTAACGGCTTTCAAGCGTAGTCGTCCAAACAGTAAACTGATTCAGGAAATTTATGGCCGCTGACAAACTTCGGCCGTTGATGACTTTTCCGATATCCTTCATTAGATATTGGCTGAATATTAGGTGCTCAACCAGTGGCGTTTATTAACTATAGGTGGTATGGGAAGTTACTACTTCTTCGTTAAGAAATCTAATCTTAAACTGTGAAGAGGCAAGATTTAATTTTGTTCGTAATTGATTGACTAGCAAATATTTTATGAATTATTACAACTATAAACATTATAACAAAAGCTTTATTATCACGCAATACAGTTGTTATATCATTAGTAGTTACAAATTTAACTCGTAGTTTCGCACACTGCTTTATTTCCGATGGCCAAGGGTTCGATTCCTTGAACGGTACAAACATTTGTATTCATAAGTTTGATCGTTTGTATCAGTCTGTATGGTTCCAATATATATTATGTATTTACAAAAATATATTTATTTATATCAGTTTTCTAGTATCCATAACACACTACACAAGTTTCTTGCTCATTCTTCTTGTCTATTCTGAGTCTGCGTTCCGAATGAGTGATAGAATAAAAAACAATGTGACTATTCAAAAGTGGTTATATTAAGTTTATTTGAATAAAGATTATTTCTGTTTCTATGCTTACCGTGGGACTAGATGGCGCTGTGTAAACTGTCTAAGGGTTATTTATTATTATTATTATCTATGTCCATCAGGGATAATGTAGAATTCTAATGGTAAAAGAATTTTTGAAATCGATCTAGTAATTTCGGAGCCTTTCATTCCTTGCTCATTTCTTATGATGAGACAACTGGATATGAGATTAAAAAAAAACTAATAATAATAATCATCTTTATTTGTCTCAAATAAAAACTAAGACAATCGCTGCTTATAATGAAATTTAAAAGTAATAAATGAGACAAAACGGTCTATAAAACAGAGGGGTCTGTCCATACTCTCTATGACTATTCAAAAGTGCTTCAATGTAAGTTTATTTGAATAAATAATTTTTTATTCTATTCTCGATAGCAAACCTTCTTTATAATATTAATACAGACTAATATAGATTTAGCTCTCAGGGGAAATTTACAGCCAATGAAAAGGGTATCAACACGCAACCTGCTTCATTGTCGCTGTCAACGCACCTTACATCAATCTAAACTGTTTAGAAATTGAAATCTGTACCTGTAGAGCTCTGTAAGCATCACTTACGAATTCGAAAGCAAAATTCGCGGTGATAATGTAGATTGGTATTCTGTAAAACTCAATAGCGACAGCGCCACACGCTCGAGAGCGGGATGGAGGTAAAACAGGCACTAGTGATGTTTTTAGAAATATAGTCAAACTCTATAGCTTAGTAGGTACTTTATATTTGACAAGTGATACGAGTGCCTTCAGTGAAGCGATGAGTGAAATGATTTGACAAAACGCTTACAGAATACCAATAAAATAAATATATTATTATTATTATTATTATTAATACCTACTGTACTTTCTTTCTTCAGTGTGCTTTGAGAAATATGGTTTTCAGGTAAACTCAATGGTAAAATTGAATTTTTACTCTTTATTTCGGCAGCAGATAGTCGATATCTTATTAATATTATAAAGCGAAAGTTTGTGCGTATGTCTGGATGTTTCTTAATAATTCTCTAAATTCTCTTGTACACCAACACGGGATTTCAATTTTATTAATTAGTCAAGTTAGGTTTATCCAAGAGTCATATTAGGGAGACAGAGGGTATACAAAAGAAGAATTACCTACATTATTAACTTACATACTTTAATACACTTCGATCGATCCTCCGTCCAATACAAACGAGGACCGAAATTACGACGGCCTGATTTGAAGTTTGAAGAAAGGTGAACCCCGAAGCGGTGGCAGACTAAAGTCGTATCCGTCAGGCGGGAGTTGATTTTCAGCCGCTCTATAAGTATTTCGGATTTGTAGTGCCATCTGCACTCGCCTCCTATCGTCCGGTGAAGCTGTAAAGGCGAGCTGTGGCCAACAGCATTAGAGTAGTCCGAAAAATACGGGTTTGGAGTAACATCTCCACTCGCCCCCTATCGTCAGATGAAGCTGTAAAGGCCAACTGCGGCCAACAGCATTAGAGTATTCCGAAAAAATTAAACACTATTTATTGATGGTGATTAAACGGCAGCAATAAATAAAGCATGATACAGCGCTAACTAGCCGCTTGAATGCCATTCTATTTATATGAAAAAAAACCAATAGATTAACTTGTCTATTTTTGAATGAATGAATGAAGATTGAAACAAGCATTAATTGCGGATAGCTTGTTAGGATATACCAGTAAAACCGCACTCAAATCGATTCAGCGGTTTTTAGATAAATGAAATAAAGCGTCAAAAATGTTGTATTTTTGACATAGATAACGCATGCTTAACACTAAACTGTATTAATTGTGAACTTCCAAATATTGTGAAGTCGACTTTAACAGTTTTAGTTATAAAGTCAATTATTAAATAATTGAAATTTTTGAGTTAATACAATTTTTAAGCGAAATGAGAAGTCAATTTTTTTTTATTATTTTTTAATTACGTACATATATTTTTTTTAAATAATATACCCAGACTATTTCTATTTATCCCTATAAATATTCAAATCTACTGTCTGTGCAACTGTCTGCTTGTTACCTTTTCATAACTAAGGTGCTGAACACAATAGAATAGAAAATCCTTTATTCAAATAAATTTTATTAAAGCACTCTTGTGTCACATAGTTGTCACAATTTTTTTAATCTACCGCTCATTTGGAAACATGTTTTATCACAAGAAGAATGAGCAAGAAACTTGTGTGTTGCTCTTTTGCCGAATATATCCAAAGGAATTACGGCGTGAATATAGCCTGTACCAAGAAGACAGAGGTACGCTATCTTTTATTTGAAAAAAGCAGACGAAGTCCCAGGAATTGGCTGATATATGGTAAGGATTACTTACCATCTAAAACGTTGAGGTGACAACAAAAGATGGAGGCCATTGTATCACTACAAATGTATGCTCTTTATAGGAGCGTATTAGTCTAAGATACGGCGTAAGAAATATATACCTTCTGCTCTTACTTGATAATGACGTTTTATATTAGAGAATATTTAGATTTATCAGATGAGTTAACTGGCTCAATATTAGATCTATCATGCCAAATATAATTGTTTAATATAAACACAAACAATACAAATATAATTTAAGTTTATGAATTAGTTCATTTTTTTATAACATACATATGAAGTAATATAAAATTAAGATATTAAAATTGTCTGTATGATCACGGTACTGACCGCGGCAATTGGCCATGGTACCGCCGATACACCACACCCTTCGGCCAGTAGTCCTCCTTCATGAAAGTGGGCAGCATGTTGGTGTGAACCCGGCCCACAAACGCCTTGAAACTCGCGTTGTGACTCGACTCCGGCGGCATCTCCCTCAATGTCCGGTTACTCTTGGTACGGATATAATAATAATAATCTCAGGACAATTCACACAGCGCCATCTAGCCCCAAGTTAAGCTAGCTAAAGCTTGTGTTATGGGTACTAGATAACTGATACATATTCATAGATATTTTTTTTGTAAATAAATACATATACATAGAAAACACCCAGACCGATACAAACAATCATACTCATGAATACAAATATTTGTGCCGTGCGAGGAATCGAACCCGCGACCGCTAGACCGCTAGACCACCGAGATCGTCAAGTAGTTTTAGTATTCTATTATCATCCATCATAAGTTATTCATAAAAATCAAGAATAAATCCAAATAATGATACCAACACCACCTAGTCCTAAGCTAAGCAGAGCTTGTGTTATTGTGCTAGACAGCTGTTACAAATACATAATATACATAGAAAATATTCAGACCGATAGAAACAATCTTATTCATGAATACAAATGTTTGTACCATGCGAGAAATCGAACCTGCGACTATCAGAAGTAAAGCGGTGTGTTAAACCGCTAGACAGTATATTTTTATAGCTTCAGACATGGATTGCATAATATATGATACTAGCTGTGCCCGCGGTTGTACCCATATGAAATTTATAGCCTATATGGTATTCTGATGTATAAGCTATATTACTGTAAAGTTTCATCTAAATTAATTCAGTAGTTGTTGCGTGAAAGAGTAACAAACATCCACCCATATTTACAAACTTTCGCGTCTATAATAGTAGTAAGATTAATTATAATTAATTTTCGATTACATTTCTTATACCGTATCTCTGACTATATGTAAGAATAAACCTTGCATTGCGCGGTACCGACGGACCGAATAAAGCGGGAAGCATTCGTCACACATCCGTTCAAATCCAAAACCGTTGGCGGGCTATTTTCGCACGAATGTTTTGCTCGTTTTTCCGGCTGACTGTACTCTGGGGGGCGCGCTGATAGGGTTGTCGAATACATTTGAAAAAGGGCGCGAAAAGAAATTCTATTTACATTATAATAGTGATATTCTAGATACAACTTAAAGTTATTTACTTAAGGTTTAATTTACAATATATAGATATATCTCACGACTCACTCTTGGAAAAGAGCGCGAAAAGAAATTATATTTGTATTATAATAGTGTAGTGGTATACGAGTTACAACTTAAAGTATTTTGTTTAAGGTTCAATTTACAATATAATATATCGCCTCGGCCTTTACTTCTTTATATATACATATTTTATTATTGTATGTATGTAAGGCCGTCTATATATTTGCAATTGCAAATAGTTAGAAAAACAAATTTGTGTTGTTGTTGTTTTTAATTGTTTTTAGAATATCTCAGGACAATTTCATACAGCGCCATCTAGTCCCAAGCTGAGCAAATCTTGTGTTAGACAACTGATACAATTACATACATTTTTAAAAACATACATAATATATATAGAAAACACCCAGACCGATACAAACAAATATACTTATTAATATAAATATTTGTGCCCTGCAAGAATCAAACCAGCGACCTTCAGAAGTAAGACGGTGTAGCACAACCAGAAGACAACCGACGCCGTCAAATGGTAATTGTAATAATGTACGACACGAACAGTATTACATCACGTTATCATGCGATGGGCGTGATGTTAAAAACAATTTGGACCCAGAGAACAATGCATACGGTAGAGCAGGTATAACCAGGGTGCGATGTAGGTCAAACCAGATGGTTTGATAGTTGTCCAGGCAGGCAAGCCATATTAATGGCAACACCGGTGGTAAACCACTGGTTTACCAATACAGATTTTTTTTTATATGTGAACCGATTTTTATGATTCTTTTTAATTCGATAGTTACTGCTTCTCATATGATCCAATATAAATATGATCAAGATATGAAGAGAAATTTAGTAGTTTATTATTCTTAATAAATTGACTGACTCGGTTTTTTTAAACTTTTATTTGCATTATATATAATAGAAAAGAGAAAAAATACACTGAATAGATTTGTGTAACTACAATAAGGCGGTTTATTGCCGAAAGCAATATTTCTGGCCTGAACACAGTATAATTACAAAACTACATAACGTTAAATAAATATTTTTAATTCGTATTATTATCAAGAGTTTATTCAATAAAGTTTATAATATTTTTTTAATTAATGATACGGATAAAATTATTCTAATAAATGCACGAAGTATAATTATGTCAGATATACATAATACAAAATAAAAGTGAATTAATAAAATACTACAAAATATCTCGTTATAATTGGATATTATTTCTGGGAATCGGACTCGAGCCGTAATAATTATTTTTTGTATAAAAATGACTACAATTTCAACTTTAACAAAAAGGAATTCATTAAAGAATCATTATTAAATTGGAGGTAAAAAGCCTCGAAATATAGAATAGAATATAACATATAAAAAAAAAATAGTATATAAAAATCGGTTTCTATTTCAAATTTTTGTTCCGATTAGTTTGCAATAATGGGGTTGTCTGAAAACAAAAACCCCAAATTAAAAAAAAATCCAAATTTGAAAATGTCATTTTCCAACCGACCGATTTTGAAATCCTATTATTTTTGCGTTTCTATGGCTATTCTATTTACAATACATTGATTATAATCATTAATTTCTTTATGTTAAACCTACAATGAAAATTACTAGCAGTTTTATATATTCCTTTATCCATATTTAAAATATGAGTGTTCTTTATATACAATTTGTTTTAAACACTTCTGTCACTGCCCTCTGCTGTAATATCGTCTATAAAGCATTTCTCTTATTTTCATTTATTATTACTCTTTATCCGCCCCGGCTTCGCACGAGTGTACATGTACTATACATATAAACTTATCTCTTGAATCACTCTGTATATTGCTAAAAACTGCAATAAAATCCGTTGCGTAGATTGAAAGGTCTAATCGAACACACAGCGGATGCGATTTCATTTTATACTATGTAAAGATATAAGTGAAATAATATTTAAAAACTAAAGCAATTCCATAACAAAAACTGACCATTAGCACTTTTTACATTACAATACATTGGCAATAATTTCATTCATAAATAGGTAAATTAACAAACAGATAAATATGAAAATCAAAAGAAAATTCTAAATTTAAAATGACAATTGTAAGATACAGATTAAAAATTTCAATTAAGAAAATCAAGCTTTCCGCCGGAGCCATGAGAAGAGAATAAAAAAAAAAAGAAAATAAAAATCATGCAGAGATGGTTGTATGGATGCAGTTATCTTTGCCTTTGCGATAACGCATAAACTGAACAAAAAAAAATTTCTTTACAATGTTTAATTAATTTAAATTCAAGGCTAGTTCTTCATAATCAAATACTGTGGGTATTCTTTTTGCAGTTAAACACAATATATGCGTAATATTTTTTGGTAAAAAAAAAAAAAAACAATTATCAATAACAAACAAAAAAATCAAATTTTACCGCTTTACAATATTACTCTATTTTTACGAATCGATCAAAATATCTATACCGCTATAATTATAGAATCCAATATTACTTACGTGGATCATTTCAGATAAATAATTTATGTACACAGAAACACATCAAACGCACCAACACATAAAACAATATAACATCACATCTTTGACAATAGGCGTCGTAAAAACCACGTGCTTGTATTTCCGGTTGCGCACGCGCATATCCGCTTCACGTCAAGCCAATACGAGAACAATTTGAAGACTAGTGGCGCCGGCGCCTGCATCCGCGGAGAGGAGCGGGGATAGGCGCAGGCTCTGAGATTTCATTGATAATGTGAATTCAGTGTTGCCTGCTTAAAGTGTTTCCCTGTATTTGGGAGGATCTTGTGGCGTTTGTGAGGAGATGAAATGATGATTAAATAATAATAATAATTTATTTTTTATCAGGCTTACTTGCCCATTTCGTTAGTATTACAGATTTCTTATAATGAATATTAGTACGTACAGACACAAATTACACACAAAAAAATAAAATAGAAATAATACCAATATTAAATTAAATTAAAATACTGTCACAGTAACTAAACAATTAGTATTGTTTATTTGAAGTAGGTCTAAAAATCATTACACAGTAGAAAATAAAGTCGCTATCGCTGTCTGTCCGTGCATATGTATGCTTAAATATTAAAAGTACGTAACGGATTTTGAAGAGTTTTTTAATAGGTAGAGTGATTTTAGAGGAAGGTTTATAAACTATATAATACACATGTATTACATTATACAATGTACATACATTGTACACCCGGGCGAAGCCGGAGCGAATAGCTAGTTTGAATATAAAAAAAACACACTTGTAAAACGCCTAAGTACAAGCTACAAATGTGACAAGCTAAACAAACAAGAGCAACTTTCAATTATTTGGAAATGCTCATAAATATCGGTAATACATTATTACCGATAATAATACCGTTGTGCCGATACAGATTTACTAAAGCCTCCTTTTAGAAAATAGGTATTTTTCTTAAAAACTTTAGGTTTTGGGAAAATATATGGGTTAACCAAGACGGTGATATGGCAACACTGTGAGATTTTCTAAAATTATGAATGTGTTAAAAAGATTTCTTAATATGTTTATCGTTAGTCTTAATTAAGTTCAAATATTGGAATAATAAGTAGAAAGGTGTTTTTTTAAAGACGATTTCATAAGCAATTTGAGAAATCCACTGAGTGCAAATTTGCTTGCTAATACAAATGTTTATTGATATATATTCTAAAGATGTCTTTAGGAAATTAAACCTTATTGACTCCCTAAATAAATAGAGTTATCCCTTAAAAATATCAGTATTTAGTGCAATGTGCAATCACCTCGCAAGTGTAGCGTAAACATATTACGCCGACCCCAAATAAATGGGATAAGGAAGAAGCAGATGATAAACATACCTATTTATTGATAAATACTCTAAAATATGCCTTTAGCAAGCTGATAATAAGTATGTTTAGACACTCAATATGCCTTTGGGAAATTGAACTTTATTGATTTCATAAATAAATAGAATTTTCCCTTAAAATATCAGTATTTAGTGGAATGGGTACTCATGTCGTCGCCACTGTGGTGTTATTTTGTTTCCTGTACTATCTAAATAGTGAGTATACAGGTGTAATATTTGACGACCTCGGTGGTCTAGCGGTATAAGACACCGCTTTCTTCCGATGGTCGCAGGTTTGATTCCTCGCATGGTAGAGACATTTGTATACATGAGTATGATTGTTTAAATTAGTCTGGGTGTTTTCTATATATATTATGTATGTATTTAGCAAAGAAATATATTAAGTATTTATATCAGTTCTCTAGTACACAAGCTCTGCTTACGAGATGGCGCTGTGTTAATTGTTCAGGGTTTAAAAAATAATTGAACTATATTATTAAGTTTATTTGTTGTGTCAATATGGAGTAATAGTAACTCGTACACTCAACGGAGGGTCGTTATGCGGATTGGTTATAATCTGAAGAAAGAAATCTATATACGTAGAGATGGAAGGGTGCCGAGTGTCGACAGAAATTTATAGGTATCGACGTATACAAATCAAATCAAATATAATCAATTATTCATGTAGAACATTTCAGCCGCTTTTGAGCAATTTTTTTTTATTTATTCTCTACCACCTAGTTCAACATACAGATTCAATTGAAAAGAACTGGCAAGAAACTCACCTGAACTTCTTTTTTTTAAAAGCTAGTTTATTTCTATTGTCATATTTTTTTTTGTATATATGTACCACACTATGTGTACAGTGTGTTACTAGACAAGGAAGTACGTACTTTCGTTGAACAATCTAGTGACGGTAGATGAGATAACTGCTGTCATTAATCTATATTGACATCGCTGTTACTACAGTCAGCGTGAGTCACAGTCGTGACTACGCCTAGTGCAACCTAGTCGAAACGTCGAGATACCTTTATTTGCCATAAAATTATTCGTGTTAAGATCCGGTTAATAATATAAATAATAGACACTTGTCTCGTCACATTTTTTTTATATAAAATAAAATAAACGTAAGAACGTTTTTTCTGTTTGACGATTCACAACCCTGCTTCCCTTACCCTTAAGGGACTGTAACATGTAAATTTGGACGGTTAAAAATGTGGTTATACGTTTCGAAATTAAACTTGAGCTAATTGGAATGGCTGGTTTGTGCCCGCATCACTTCGTTTGACTGCCGACAACGCTCAGTAATTTGGCCTCGTGCATAATAATTCGCGACTCAGATCCTCCGATTCAGTTCGCCGCTCTTCTGCGAACTAATGCGATGTTTTAGTTCGTTCACTCCGTCACTATTGAGAGAAAAGTAGTAGCTCAGTAGCTGACCGAACTCTAGACCTGTAAGTGTTCTTTTTAGGTTTGCAAATATGTTTGTTTAGCTCTTAAGTGTCGCACGCTCTTAGTATATTTTTACCTTTTTGCGATATTTTACTTCTGTATTGTTTAATTTAGCCCACAAATATGTTTCTTATTTTTTTAAACGATCTTTTAGACTTATATGTTTTTACGTAGCCAATATTATTTCGTATATTTAGATATTAAATATAGTAGAGCCTAACGTTCTTGCAATTTCTAACTTCTGTACTGTTTATTTTAGCCTATAAATATGTGTACTAATTTTTTTTAAACAAGAGCACAAACTAATAAAATTTGTAACGAGCTAAAGAGCAGAAGATCTGCGAATCAGTTCGTTTGTGTACTACACAAGACAACAGTAAATACATAATGGGTTTTCTAACATCGGTTCTAACTAGAATACTAAATTTTCTAATAACAAACTATATTCTAACTAATGTAAATAAACTATTTAATTGAAATCGTAACGAAGTAGAAATGGCAAATGAAATATATTTAGTAACGCTTATAGACGTAGTTAATGAACTGACAAAGGAAGTTAAAATGTATATTTGATATGTTTGTCTGTTTGTTGTACAACTGAGGTAGATTTTGTAAAAAGTCGACAATTATTTTTAGTTTGATGTCGGTGTTTCCATCACTGGAGTTAGCCAGAAATATTAATTAACCCGCAAAACTTTTTCATTGGATGTCAGATTTTAACTCACTACCTCTTGGGTGTGATTCATGGTTGTAAACCACTAAGTCAAAGTGCTTAAATACTACACGCATTTTATATGTAATAATAATCTACAATTCACACAGCGCCATCTAGACACAAGTTAAGCTAGCTAAAGTTTGTGTTATGAGCTAGATAACTGATATAAATACATAGACATTTTTTCGTAAATACGTACATACAATTCATAGAAAACACCCAGACCGATATAAACAATCACACTCACGAATATAAATGTTTGTAGCGTGTTAGGAATCGAAACCGCGACCAGTGGAAGTAATGCAGTGTGCTAAACCACTAGACCTCCGAGGCTGTCAAATATATATCAAATTCAATATACTCACATTGCGTCCTATTACACTCCCTTGAGAAGTAGCACGATTCGATAACACGGAAAGCGGAAATGTGTTTTGCATCTACGTTATAACAAAAAATTTACGGGTTCATATTGAGAGTAAGGTGACCTATTTACTACTTGCTGTTCCTCTATTTGAGAAGAACGTCAAAAGTAATGAATTTTCTGTTTAACTATAAGATCATAGAAACATCGGTATTGAATAAAATTAATAGTAATTTATTTAAAATAGAAACTATACTGATACGAAAGGCGGTCTTATCGCTAAGCAATTTCTTCCAGCCTACTTTTGGGTGGATAGAGAATTAAAATAAGAAGAGGATAGGTGGCAGATGTAATAAACAATAATAAATATATGACTCAAATATACATATACTTAATAGTGCACATACATTTGGATATGCACTATTAAGTATATATAGATACAGTTAAAAGAATAATAAGAAATTAAAGGAAAAAAAAAGGGATTTGACAGAGGCTTTCAAGCTGGCAAGTGATTGAATGATCCGAATCCAAGAGGGGAGTGAGTTCCACAATCTAACGGCCTGGACAGAAAATAATTGAGAATAGAAGGAAGTGGAATGAGAGGGAAATCTGAGACGGAGATAGTGAACACTACGCGAGCAGTGGCTATTGTTCTCACTGAGAAATGTGAAACAGTCTTTTACGTAATAAGGAGTGACTGGGTAAAAAAGAATGCTGTAAAGGAGTGATAGGATGTGTGTAATTGTCACTGGTCTTCCAAGAGCCTTCATGGGCCGAAGGGAACGGACCTCGAGCATACGTCCGCCTTGGGTTTACTGCTGAGCTACCAAATAAATTCGAGAAACCGCGCTGATACTTTGAATCCAACCTGGCAGAAGACCTACAGCTGTGTGTTGGTGTTTCTATCACTGGAGATATAGCTATGGTCATGAGCCAGGCATGTATGCCGTCGATACGATAGCAGATGGAGCAAGATCTGGAGTGGACACCCATTGAGGCTAACACATTGTAACCACCTCAGAATGACTATGGCAGCGACAGGCCTAACGGTACGCTTCACCATGCTGATGAAGAAGATACATATTATATAGACGTGTCGAGATAGTTTACCACTAAGCCTACTTGCAATCCAGAAATCTCATATTCTTAACTATCCGAAGTATAAACCATGCCTATACAAGGTGGTACCGTTTAGAATTGCGTAAATTAATTTACCGATAAATATGTATTTGCGTAAATCCTTTTCAAATGATTACTGAAATTAATACTTGAATTGGAGTCGGATTATCTGTACAAATA